CCTGATGCTGCCAATTGGTCCAGTGGTGAGAATCTTTGTCTTCTTGACATTGAGCCTCAATCCATATTGTAGGCTGCAGTCCTTGACCCTCTGCAGCAGGCGCTTCAGGTCCTCTTCAGTTTCAGCAAGCAGAGTTGTGTCATCTGCATAACACAGGTGCAGATAGTAAAATTAATTTTAGCCATCTTGAGCTAAAATTTCTCTTTGCAGTCTGAAGTCTTAAAGTGCTCATTGATGGTTATAAATCACTCAATTAGATAAGAAATTAGACAGGTACTGCATTAGGATCCCTAAGGAGGCCAGGTGGTTCAATGGTGAAAGCATTCAACTCCTAACTGAAAGGTCAGAGATTTAAACTAACCAGTGGTTCTGCAGAAGAAAGAAGGGGCAATTTCTTCATAAGGGTTTACAGCATTGGAAACCCTTTCGGATGTTTCTGCTCTGTCCTGAAGAATCACTGTGAGTTGGAATCAGTTGAACAGCAGCAAGTATAGTTTACGTGGGATTGGGAAGCAGTGTATGAAAACCACTATACAGTGTCTAGCATGCCTTTTTTTTTAATTATTGATTTGCTTACAAAATTTGTATGCATCGTGTTTCACACTATTCTTCATATTGTGTTTCATACAATCATTCTCATGCATATGTTTTATAAAATTAATCACCTTCGGACCCTGCTTATTATTACCATCTTTTCACCCAGATCCTTCCCATTTCCTTCCCCTCCCTTCACCCCTACTCAGCCTAACCCTTCTGCTCTCATTTCTTCCCCCCTTGGTTTCCCACACGTTTTACTAGTTATCTTTCTATTTTTACAATAATGCTTCTATGCAACATCTGTCTTTATGAGACTGAGTTCACTCAGCATGATTCTCTCCAGTCTTTCCCAAGTTTTGTAGTACTTTTCAAAATTGTTGCTCCTGAGTGCTGCATAGTATTGCATTGTGTGAGTGTACCACAATTTCTCCATCCTTTCAGATGTGGTTGGACATTTGGGCTGTTTCCATATTCTTGTGATGGTGAATAATGCTGCTGTGAACATTGGTGTACAAATATTCCTTTGTGTCTCAGTCCTAATTGCCCTGGGGTATATTCTTAGTAATGGAATACCTGGGTCATACATAGTTTCTGTGTTCAACTTTTTGAACATATAGAGACACCAAACTGCCTTTCAGAATGCTTGGTTGTACCATTTTACAAACCCACCAACAGTAAGGAATCCAGTTTGGAAGTCTTCTGCAGCAGCCAGATTCTACAGAGGCTTGTTTGCTGGTTTTGGTGAGGATTAGGGTAGAATGTTGACTTGTTAATGGGTGTGAGATGATATGTGGAGAAACGACAAAAGTTATACAAGTGTTCAGGTCTTTCATTCATAGGGTCGCTATGAGTTGTCCAAGACTCAATGACATTTAATAACAACAACAACCACCAGCAGTATATGAGAGCTCCCACCTCTTTACATCCTCTCCAACAATTATTGCTTGCTGCCCTACTAAACTTTGCCACTGCTACTGGGGTGAGATGGTATCTCATTGTGGTTTTGATTTGCATCTCCTCTACTGCCAGTGATTTTGAGCATTTCTTCATATGTCTGTTAGCCATCCTAATGTCTTCCTCTGTGAGAAGTCTTTCCATGTCTAGCACGCCTTTAAATGTTCATCCAATAAATAAATATTGCATAGGATTGAACATGATGACTCCTATCAGTCTTCATTTGGAAAAATTGATGTTTAGAGTGGCAGATTCATATGAGGAAGAAGTGCTGTCCCTGAATGGCACAAAGTATGACTAATAGTTTATTATGTGTCAGATGGATCCAGCTATCTGGTAAACAGTCTTAAATTTCCTTTCCACTCGAAAAGTCTGATTTTACAAGGGAGGTCCAAGTGAAAACTACTTTATAAACATAGTTGTTTATGTTACAAACTTCATTTCAAAGAATTTGGGTTACAGAATACTTTAAGTTAATGAACGTTTTTAATCAGTTTTTTCAGTTGCACTATTTACAAATTCGAGACAGTGTTCTATCTGCAGAGAAAAATAACAGATGTAGGGTACTAAGTAGCATCTTGAAAAAGGACGCAGTTGGATAAAAGCTCTTAGAAAAAGAAAGGGAGAAAAATGCATCAAAGATCCTGTTGAAGTTCTACTTAAAACAATGTGGAATGCATCTTAGTAGTAGTTTTTGTTTCTCTGTGATTTTGTTCTGCTTCTTAGAAATATAAAACAACAGCTTAGGACACTATATTACATATGAGAAGAAAGATTAAAAAAGAGCTAAAAGGCCTTTAATATCAGATAGCTAAAATAGTATATCTCAGTATTGAAAGAAGGAGTGGTATTCACTTCCTAAATAACTTGCCTCCAGAAACTCTATGAAATTTGATATATGTCATTACTTGTAGAGGGGCTTAAGGCCTTTTGGTTATAGGATTGCTATGAGTCCTGTTCAACTCAAAGGCAATCAACAACAACAGTCATTCTGTAGCTCAGAGGGAATTTACACAGAAAAAGAGCCATTGTTTTCAGGGACTTACATGGTAATTGTGAAAAAAGTACATTTTTTTAGAGGCAAATATATGTAGATATGTTTTCTTGTGGGACAGCTGACCTGCTTTGTAACTTTTGGCAGTTTCATTTAATATTAAAATTACTTTTCTTACCTGTTTTGACTTCTTTACATGAAATTTTAAAAAAGTTTTTATTTATGGAGTCATTCATATACATTGTTTCACTCATACATTTTCTTTTATACAGTCATTTCTGTACATTGTGTTTTATATAATTTATTACTATTGATCTATTATTTTATATCCCCATCTCTTCAAGTTCCCATTTTACCTTACCTATTCCTTCATTCTTCTCCCACTCATCTGTGCTGTCCTAGTGATCTTCTCTTCATTTTTCCACACTCCTTATCCCCTTGCCCTTTTAAAGTTTTATATGTATATATATTTCCTATTTGCTAATAGCAATAGCCATATTGTCTTGGTGTTGATTGATCGTCCCTTGTCTTAGTGTTCGTTATCTACCCATTCCATTTCTGTTTTTCATCCCTACCCCCCACCCACTTATCCTCCTATTTTGCATGCTCTTAAGCAGTATTTGTCCTCTTGTGATTGAATTATTTTACTCAACATATTGCTGTCTAGACTCACCCATATTATGTCATACTTTATGAATAATTAATTGTTCTTCAGTGCTGTATAATATCCCATTGTGGAAACATACTGTATAGTTTTTCTATACATTCATGTGTTGATGTGTTATTGTTGAGTGCTGTCGAGTCGTAGTGATTCATAGTGACCCTACAAACGAAAGTCCTCAACACTTGCATGTGTCACTTTTTTCATCCTTTCTTCAGGTTCATAGGGTTTCCAGAGGCAAGCTATTTGTGGTAGTGGATGCCACTCCTGCTTCAAAGCTTGTTTGAACCGGGGAGCACTACCAAACATGTGTTGATAGGCATTTGAATTATTTCCATTTTCTTGCTGTTGTGAACATAGGTGTATAAAACATCCATTCTTGTCTGAGTTTGGATTTTTGGTATATATTCCTATCAGACATACGTACACCTATGTTCATGTTGTTGTTGTTAAGTGCCATCGAGTTGTAGGCGACTCATAGCGACCCTATGAACGAAAGTCCTCAACACTTGTGTGACTTTCATCCTTTCTCCAGGTTCATAGGGTTTCTAGAGGCAAGCTATTTATGGAAGGGGATGCCACTCCTGCTTCCAGTTGAAACACAGAAAGGTTAAATTATTGCCCCAATAAGGATTATTTTTCCCTGTGTGTGGAGGGGTTGGGAGGAAGAGTGAGACTTTATATACAGGCATACCTTGTTCATAGCAGCTTTATATTCACTCACAAAAGGACTAATACTGTTTAATACCACAACTGTGAATATAGGAGGGTAACTGGGCAGGGGAGGAGTGGGTGCAGAAAAATTGAGATGGAATGGGTAAACAACAAATACCAAAGTAGAATGTAGATCATTGCCTTGGTGGACTATGTTATGCCAATCAACCTATATAATTCTTATTATTAATCTAGGTAAGACTACAAGTCTAAGACGTTTAATATTCTTTTTTTTTTTTTTAGGAGACTTTGATGAATTCATTGAAGATAATAATGAAATTATGTTGAAAAACATAGCAGAAGACCTTCGGAGCTGTTTACCTATAGAAACTATGCTTTCCTCGGAACAACTAGCCCTTCAGAAAGTAAATACCTTATGTTAATTTGCTCTAAGTCCCTCTTAAGGATTCTAATTAAAGTAAGATAATGATATTTATTGTCTTACAGTTTTATAATTAAAAATAGCAAAATTTATCCTCTCTTTTCTCTTACAAATTTGTCACTTAGGCATTTGAGTGCTTATTAAAGATGTAGCCTGTGATAGATTTTTTGGTAGACTCAGAAGATGTATATGCCATAACCACTATCTTCTCAGGACACATTCTAGTTGTAAAGATCAGTCTCATTGTTTGTAAAACAATTTCCAGCAGACACCAACACTTAAGAATAAATACTTAAACTTAATTAGTATACTTGCTTGGCATTTCTTAAGCTGAAGATCAAATTTAAGCCTTAAGGTTCGATACTTAAGGATGTTATAGGAGGAATATTGAATGACCCAGAAAACATCAAAAGAAGATGGAGGAAGTACACAGAGTCACTGTACCAAAAAGAATTGGCTGACACTGAAGATTTTTTTTTTAATAATTTTTTTTTATGTGTGTACCGTCAAATTGGATCTGACTGGTACAGGAGGCGATTGTTCCTCCTTCTTCAGCAGGGCATCTGGTGGATTTGAACCACGCACCTCTGGGATTGCAGTGCAGTTTCCTGCCACTGGGCCACCAGAGCTCGCCGACACTGAAGATTTTTATAAAACAACATATAATCAAAAAGCAGTGCTGGTGAAGGAGGAAGTTCAAGGTACCAGGCCAGGTGCTGATTGCAGAACAGACCGTCAGCTACTCATATGCAAGTTCAAATTAAAGCTAAAGAAGGTCAGATCAAATCCACAGGAATCAACATTTCATTTTGAGTCTATCTCACCTGAATTTAGAAACCAACTCAGGAACAGGTTTGAAGCCTTGAATACTAATGAGCAAAGACCAGATGAGCTGTGGGAGTATGTCAGGAATATCATCCATGAAGAACGCAGAGGTCATTACAAGGGCAGAAGAAGAAGGACAGAGCAAGATGGATGTCAGAAGAGACTGAATATTGCTCTAGAGCACTGAGAAGCTAAAGCAAAGGGAAGAAATCAAGAAGTTAAGGAGCTGAATAGAACGGTTCAAAGGACAGCTCAGGAAGACAGAGCAAAGTATTATAATGAAATGTGCAAGGAGCTGGAGTTGGAAAATCAAAAGGGCCTAACTCACTCAGCATTTCTTAAGCTGAAGGAACTAAAGAACAAATTCAAGCCATGAGTTGCAATACTTAAGGATTCTATATTGAATGACCCAGGAAGCTTTAAAAGAAGATGGAAGGAGTATACAATAGAGTCACTGTACCAAAAAGAATTGGCTGGCACAGAAGAATTTCAAGAAACAGCATATTATCAAGAGACAATGATGATCAAGGAGAAAGTTCTGGCTGCTCTTAAGGACTTGGCAAAAAAATAAAGCCCCAGGAATTAATTGAATATCAATTGATCTATTTCAGCAAACAGATGCTGCCCTGGGCATGCTCACCAGGTTGTGCCAGGAAATCTGGAGGGCAACCAACTGGCCAACTAACTGAAAAAGATCCAGATTTATTCCGATTCCCACAAAAGGTGATCCGACAGAGTGTGGAAATTGTGCTCGCTTCGGCAGCACATATACTAAAATTGGAACGATACAGAGAAGATTAGCATGGCCCCTGCGCAAGGATGACACGCAAATTCATGAAGCGACAGAGTGTGGAAATTATCAAATGATATCACTAAAGCCATTAACAAGCAAAATTCTGAAGATTGTAAAAAAATGAAATAGTACATCAACAGAGAACTACCAGAAATACAGGCTGGGTTTAGAAGGGCTGTGGTACTAGGCACATCATTGTAAATGTCAGATAGATCCTGGCTGAAAGCACAGAGTACCAGAGGAATGTCTGTCTTTCTTTGACTATTCACAGGCACCTGACTCTATGGATCAGTAAAGATTGCAGGTAACGTTGAATAGAATGGGAATCCCAGAACACCTGATTGTGCCCATGCAAAGTCTAAACTTGTACCAGGAGATAATCATCAGAACAGAGCAAGGAAACACTGCCTGGTTCAAAATTAGGAAAGGAGTGCATTAGGGATGTGTCCTGTCCCCATACTTTTTCAATCTGTATGCCAAACAGATCATCCGGGAGGATAGACTTTATTAGGAGGAATGTGGCCTCAGGATTGGAGGAAGACTCATCAATAACTTGTGTTATACAGAGACACAACCTTATTTGCTGAAACGGAGGAAAACCTGAACCATTGCTGTAGCAGGTCAAGCAATGTAGTCTATAATATGGATTAAAGCTCATTATCAAGAAAACGAAGATCCTCACACAGAGTCAGTTGGCAGCATTATGATAGATGGAGAAGAGATTGAGATTGTTAAAAATTTCAGCTTGCTTGGTTCCACAATCAACATTCTTGGTACCAGCAGTCAGGAAATCAAAATACAAATTACATTAGGAAATTATACTGGCAAGGACCTCTCCAGAGTGGGACAGAGCAATGATGTCAGCCTGATCCAGGCCATAATCTTTGCAGTGACCTGTTACATATCAGAAAGCTGCACAATGACAGAGGAAGAACTGATGCCTTGAGTGTGGCACTGGAGAAGAGTATTGAACATACCATCAATTGCCAAGAGAACTAACAGATCTGTCCTGGAAAGGGTAAAAGCCAAACTTTTCTTTGGAAGCAAGAATTTTGAAGCTCTGCCTCACATTCTTTGGGCAAGTTATGAGGAGGGAGTAGTCCTTGGAGAAGGACATCATGCTTGGAAGAGTTGTGGGACAGCACAAGAGAGGAAGACCCCAGATGAGTTGGATTGACACAGTAATTGGAGCAGTGAGGGTAGGCGTGTCAGACATAGTAATATTGGCTCAGGATAGAGTAGAGTTCCAAGTTGGGCATAGTGTTGCTATGAGTCATCTTCAACTTGATGAGACGTAACAACAGCCACATAGATTGTAAAAGTGAATGGAATTTAGAAAAGGATCATGTGGCAGCTGAAGTAATCCCAAGAAAAATGTCATGAATAAAGTGAATTTGAACCAGGCTTTTGAAAAAGCATTAGAAAAGAACACTGGAAGAATGCCTATTTATGATTTAGTGAGTATGCAAAGCCTTTTGGCTGTGTGGATCATAACAAATTATGGCTAACATTGAGAAGAATGGGAATCCCAGAACACTTACTTGTGCTCATGTGAAACCTAGACCAAGAGGTTGTTATGTGAACAAAGCAAGGGAACATATAATTAAGAAATGTGTGCATCATTGTTGTAACCTTTCTCCATACCTATTCAGTTTGTATGCCAAGCAAATTATTCAAGAAGCTGGACTCTGTGAAGAAGAATATGACATCAGAATTGGAGGAAGACTCATTAATATCCTTTGATATGCACAGGACAATGAGGAGGAATTGAAATGCTTGTTGCAGAAGATCTAAGCCTTCATTATGTATTGTATCTTACAGTCAAGAAAACAAAATTTCTCACCACTGGACAACATAATGATAGAGGAGAAAGATTGAAACGGTCGATAACTTCATGTTACTTGAACCCACAATCATACATTTGGTATCAGCAGTCAGGAGATATATTGCACTGGGAAAGTCTGCAGTCAGAGTCTGTCCAGATTATTGAGGAGCAATGATGTCAGTTTGAGCACTAAGATATGCCTCATTTGAGCCATGGTTTTTTCAGTCACTTGCCATTTCAGACATCTGAGAGCTGAACAGTGAATAAAGATGACAAAAGAATTGATGGCTTTGTATTATGATGTTGGAGAAGAATACTGACTATCCCATGAACTACTAAAGAACAGATATATCTTGGAAAAGGTGCATCCAGAATGCTTTGCTAGGAGAGGCTGTTTCTTGAAGAGGGACATCATACTTGGGAAGGTAGAGGGATTGCAAAGGAGAGGAAGACCCTCAACCAGGTGGATTGACACAGTGACTGTAGCAATGGGCTTGAGTGTGTCAGCGATTGTGTGCATAGGACAGGGTTCATAGTCAGTGTGAGATATCCTTGACAGTATCTAACAATAATATTGAGGGGGAAAAGGGAAAAAGATGAGTATAACTTAGAGGCAATCCTGAATATAGCGTGGTATCAGTGTGGTGAAGAAGAATTACTTGAAAATGCCTGTTGGGTTGTTGTTAGGTGCTATCAAATCAAATACAACTTACAGCCACTATATGATCAACAGATTTGAATCCTGTCCTATCCTGTGCCATCCTTTCCATCTCTGACACATTGAACTCATTGCTGCATTCACTGTGTCTATTCCTTCTCATCAAGGGTCTTCCTCTCTTTTGCTGACCCTCCATCTTTCCATGCATAGTGTCACTCTCCAAGAAATAACTGTTCCTAGTAACATGTCCAAAGTATGTGAAATGAAGTTTCACCAGCCTTGCCTCTAAAGAGCATTGTAGCTGCACTTTACTCCAAGACATATCTGTTCTTTTGGCAGTTCATGGATATTCAGTATTCTTCAACACCACAACTCAATGGCATCAGTTCTCTCATCTTTATTCATTGCATATCTCTCAGATGCATAGCAAGTGATTAAAAAGACTATGGCCTGAATCCGGCATACTTTAGCCTTCAAACTGTCATCATTGACCCTGAGCCTGTTGGATAGTAGTGGAAAATAGTTTGTTTAATCGTTTAGGTTTAAGATCATAGGGGAGACCAACAAATCATAAAAATTCTATAAAGCTCAACAGCTGTAGTGAGGCAGAATAAACTTAGCTATATCTGAAAAGACCTGGCTTTTATTTAAAAGATGATCAGTCAGCCATTTGTTTGTGTGTGTGTTTTTCACTTATCTCTACCCATAATCAGTTTTAAAGAAGATCCAAGTTTTTTCCACAGAAGTTTGTGTATAGAAGAAAGTTTCCTACAGAAAAGGAATTCTTTAACTTTTTATATACACCCTGTCAACAAAACATTTGTTTAATATTTCCATTTTTTGTAATTTCTTTTCCTCTTCTTTTTACATAAAAAGTCAATC